TGTACTTTACTGTTTTTTACAGGCTCTTTCATTTTCTTTCACCTCCAAGAACTTAAAACATGGCAGAAAACCCACAGTTTAATGGTATGTGTGTCTGTTAATATGATGCAATAGTTTAAAGATTAAGTTATCAATTTAGCATTAGGCCTACCAACACACTCTTAATGCATTGTATTGTATCCCTTTTGTTCATGGTGGAAAACATACAGTGCGGATCATATGTATAGTTCAGTGGTTCTTCTTGTTCTTCTATTTGTCTCTAAGAATGATATCATTAATTTTCATTGATGTCACTGGAAGTTGATTTCGTCACCCATTTTCCATCAAATCATCAGTTTTTCAGGCAAAATTGTTGCATCAAGAATTGTGTTGTGTGGTAGCACTACTCGCGAGCGTAGCACAACCACAATGACCAAAATGAGCAAATTAAAAAAAGCAGCAGGCTTGAGCAAAACAAAAACTATCAATTTGTAGCACGCTTTTTGGCAGGTTTCTTTGCTGTCATTGCACAACTAATGTTGTCAAACTTGATTGAAATGGCATTGCCATCATTGCTTTAATCTGTTAGATCGTCGCTTCATCAATAGTGATCGTTGCAATTTTGAATTTGTCAGAAATATCCATACAGAGGCTCAAATGTACAAGAATTAATGACAGTGTGTGCAATGCAAATACAGGACTGTAAGTCTATGCATGCATGGGAAAAGGTGTAATACATGTAGGTGTGGTTTTACAGTCAGTCTAGTTGCACTAAAGAAATGTAAATGAGTTGCTGTTGTTGGGTTGAATGGAAAAAGTGCTCTAGAAGTGATTTCTGAAAAAAAGCTACAAGGCTGTGCACTAAAAAAACTGAATGGAGTCCAGCACAAACCCAGAATGCCCAGCATTTGTTTGAAAACACTAAGATTTTCTAGTCATCTGGGAATAAAAGTTAGGCATCGGGGGCCAGCGGGTACTGCTAGAGTACCAGCTTTTGTTAGATTCTCCTTTCAAATTATTTGCTCATATTTGTTTAAAAAAGGCCAAGAAACTTTTTTACTGCGCTTTTCGATAACACGCCAAAGTCTTTCTGAAATACAAAACTCAGCTTACATGCATGCATTTTGTTTTTCGCCGCTGTCAATCAATTACTGTAATCACAAGCAACAAATTTTGAAGCATCATCATCTATGGCTTATCCTGATGGCTGTCGCATCTTCGACTGTACAGTGGAAACAACTTTTGTTTCCGCTGTTATTAGTCTCAGATTGTTGGAACTGGTTGTTTCAGAAAGTAGGCTCTTGAGTCTTTCTTTCCTGGGAGGTATCTTTACAAGATAGGTAGCCCCAGCCAGTGTCCAAAGTAGAAGGATCTTATGCCTGGTGCCAGTTATGGGAGCCAACACTGTGGATTATGGCATCAGTTGCCTCCTGAACAACACCCTCACCCGCTCCGATGACTTCACGTAACCCTGATCGGGGGGCTGACCCGGTACTACACCCTGCCCACAGGTGAGCCATAGGCTAGCGGAGGGAAGGAGTCGCCTTACTTCTCCTGTTGGTAGGGGATACCCCTACCCGGCTACCCTGAACTTTGAAGCACAGTAACACGAAAAGGATCAAAATCCACCACCTCAAATCATGGCCCATGACCTTTTGAACTCATACTTCAGAATTCCTATGTTTTTGAAAAGTGCAGTAAATTATTTTGTAAACATTTAATTGTTTCTGATAATTGCTCTTTTACATAAAGATGCCAAGCCTCCACCGTATGCACCTCCACCCTACCCTGGTCCTGGGGATCAAGCTTCTCAGCCCCAGTACCCACCTCCTGGTCAGGGATATGGATGGCAACAGCCACCACCCCCGGTTACTGAGGCTCCAGTGGGAGGAGCAGCACAGGGAAAAGCAGCATACCCACCTCAGCCTGGTTACCCTGGGGCACCCATGCCCAATCCGTATCAGCAAGGCTACCAGCCATATCCTGGACAACCTGCTTATCCAGCTCAGCCAGGTTACCAGCCGGGTTATCAGCCTGGGTATCAAGCACCCCCAATGGCAACTCAACATTCCTCTGTAACTGTTGTGGTAAGAAGTAAAGCTGCACTCTCATTAAGACTAGTTCGTATACATGTAAAGTGTATTTTAGTGATTTCAATTGTACTTTAATTCTTTAATTATTGATTTTGTGAACCCAAAAGGCGTGTACCAAATTAGATAGCAAGAGGTATTTTGGTTCAGCATACACTATTAAATGGTGCAGGGATTTTAATTCAGATAATTTTGTTGAGAAGGTAAAGGTGTAATGAATCCTTAAGTTGATGTCATTTTTGTTTTTCGTCACTACTTTTACGTTACTGTATATGTTTATGTTGTATGTGGTTTTTCAGGGCAAATACATATAATACATTCAATATTTGACACAAATCAATATTAGTGATTAATNATTGTACTTTAATTATTGATTTTGTGAACCCAAAAGGTGTGTACCAAATTAGATAGCAAGAGGTATTTTGGTTCAGCATGCAGTATTAAATGGTGCAGGGATTTTAATTCAGATAATTTTGGTGAGAAGGTAAAGGTGTAATGGATCCTTAAGTTGATGTCATTTTTGTTTTTCGTCACTACTTTTACGTTACTGTATATGTTTATGTTGTATGTGGTTTTTCAGGGCAAATACATATAATACATTCAATATTTGACACAAATCAATATTAGTGATTAATTGTTTACTCCTTTCTTTCTGCACACACAGTCTGGAGGACCCAGTGTTATCTTGGCTCCGCAGATAGCACCACCGGACTATTGTGGCCTGTCTTGGTTTGCCTGTTTGTTTTGTTTCTGGCCAACAGGAATTTGTGCCATTATGAAATCTAATGAGGTAACAAATATTGATTCAGAAATTCTCATGTGAATTAATAAGAATGCAACATGCTGACTGCAGACTACCATTGCTATTTTATAGTCTGGATCAAGTACAGTCAGTGACATGAGTGTCAATTATATGACTTAATTAGTGTATTAATTAGTACTAGAACTAAATGCTGGTGGATTGGCTTGGTCTGGCTTGGAATACCAGAAATGTATTCATACACATACATACACATTGTACACTTCAGTTCCCATATAGCAGTTTTTGTGGCTGCCGTACTGTTTACGGCAGTTAACAGTGTTCTCCTTATCAGGCAGTAACTGGTAAAATTTACCGCTTGCAGGAACTAGTTATCACCACCTGCAACCGCTTAAGGGTTTCACTACAATTGTACAAGTTGTTTTAAAAAAAAGACTCATATGATCTTCTTTCTTATATGGGCCATGCGTTATGGAAAGAGAACATTTAAGACGGGATGAAATTATGGGAACTACACATTTAGAATTGTTATCTAAAGATTTAAACTATCAGTTTGAAGGGAAAAAGGTATACTGCCGACTTCATTTAATAAAAATCTTTAAGCCCAGTGGCTCTTTAAAAAGTAAATAATTTTAAAATTTGTTGCAAATTTTTAACCTCAGATCAGAAGGTGGATAACTTACAACAGTGGATTACCTCAAAATAGGTCTTAAAATAACAGAATGATATCGATGTTTCAGAGAAGTTAACTTAGCTCCTACAAATTTCTCAGTGAGGTCGGGGCCTTGTCCCTCACCCCACTTCCTTTCCAGGAAAGCGAGCCTCTTGCATATATTTTTTGTCTTACTGGTCAGGAATGGTCTCTTATCTGCCGAGGTAAAATTTAGGGAGAACACTGAGTTACCTCAGGCTGCATTACCTTGCGCATGTACACTGTACTCTTATCTGCCGAGGTAAAATTTAGGGAGAACACTGAGTTACCTCAGGCTGCATTACCTTGCGCATGTACACTGTATTATATACATATAATATGTAAGTACTTTGCTTGACATTAATTTGCTATTGAATATGGCATTTCCTGAGTGTTGTGCAAACTTTGCAAAATTTCTAAGGTGATGAATAAGGGGCTGGGGTATTTTAGAAACAGAGTGGGTAAAAGAGGTCCTATTTCTCTCCAAATGGGTATACTTCATTGAAATAAAACCTACTTTACATTTAAATGAGATTATATGCTTTTGAATGAGGATAAAAAATTTATAATAAATGTCTAAAATGTTCATTTTTGTATGTCATAAAAGAAAAAAAAATTGGCGACCACTTTTTGCTATCTGGCAGCTGAAATCTTTTATTTAGTCACCAGCAAGAAGTGTAGCTTGATAATGAGGCAAACGGCATTGATTTTTTGCTTTTTTTATAGACTCGACATGCCATTAACCGTGGAGACATGGTCACAGCCGGTCAATTGAGTATGGAAACCAGACGATTGGCTAACATGACGATTGGCATTGGAATTACTATCATCGTTGTCTCTATGATCATCCGCTTTGCACTCGTGGCTGCTTTTAATTAACAGAGCCCAGCCCCTTTGGCCATAAATAAGACAGCTAGAGTAGTCGTCCTGATTATTGTTCATTGTAGAAGTTACAATGTATTATTTTGTACATGTAGCTGAAGCATTTCATACAATGTTAGCATAGGTTAAGCTTGTTTTGAAAACTATTTCTCTTAACACAGGGGTTGTACAGAGTCTTGAATTCTTGAAAAAGTCTGGATAATAGAGTGTTTTTTCAAAGCTACAACAATATTTTATTGCTTTATAAGTAAATTGTTTATTGTTTTGGTCAAATCTTATTCAATCTTGACCTTGTACGTTTGCAGTGCATCATGAAAAAAGCTTTGTTCTGCTTTTTTTTAAGGGCTATATTGATGACCTATTTGATAACCTTGAGAAATTCTTGTTTTGGAAAAAGGTGTGGAAAAAGTCTTGAATTTTGTATCCAAAATCTGTACAAACCCTGTAAACACCCAGCAAGTTTTGACACTTTCTTTCCAGTTAGTCTAATGTGTTTTTCTATATTCAAAAACATTTGTTACTATCCTTCTCTTAATATAAAGAATAATAATTATAGTGTAGGATTTTGGTTAGTATATTTAGCAGTAAAATATAGGTGAAAAGGAAATAAAATGTTTAGGTGTGTAGCAATAATTGGTAAGTTTTGCAATAGTTTTAAATTAATTTGTTCTTTAAGGGGGCGTTATCATACAATGTAGCTGTCAGTGACTCCCATTTTTCTTCTTTTTTTTTTGCATGACAAGGAAGAAAGGCTTAAAATGGTAAAAGTAAAGCAATAGTAACAAAACAAGGAGGCAGATAAATGATTTCTTGGCTGCGCCACATCACAAAGTCAATTTAGATTTTTAACAGCTATAAATTGAGTCAATGTCGAGCCTTAAAATCCTGCACTTAAAGACAGTAGAATTTGATCTGTTTTATGGAGCCTTTTAGCCAGAGTAAAGCAAATCAAGTAATTATGTGTAAAATGTTTCCCTTAAATGTGNCAATTAACAAAACAAAAAAATCGTCTCCCCCTCATCTATCCCCCCAAAACCCGTGGGCCCCCCGGGGGCAAATTAATTTAAAAAACGTAGTTTTTTGATGAACCTCCATTTTTTTTTTTTTTTTAAAAAGCCAAAAACCCCCCTTCAAACAACCAAACCCCCCCCCCCCCCACCTTCATCTCCTTCCCCCCAACAGAGCAAGTCATGGGAAATCCCTAACTGAGAGAGAAGGAGGTGTGTTAACTAAGGAACAAAGTTATAGGAAGTATTAAAAGCAACATTTTTAAAACAATAAACTACAGTAGTTTACCATTACTTGCTGTTTTCAATGGTTGTATGCACTAGCTCATAAAGCTTGCTTTTTTTGTCTATTCTTCAGGGTTTGTACAGAGTCTTAAATTCTTGAGAAAGTCTAGGAATTTGCCCAGCAATTTTCCAGACCTGGAAAAAGTCTGGAAAATAGAGGTTTGAAAAAAGGGTAAAAATTCTTTTCTTTTTTTTTGAAAGAGAAGTGCCTCACAAGTGAAATTTTTTTCTTGTTGGTCAAATCTTATCAAATCTCGCCAGCACCTCATGGAAAAAGCTTTGTTCCTGCATTTTTTTAAGGTCTCTATTGATCATCTAGTTGATAAACTTGAGTCTGGAAAAAGTCTTGAATTTTTTATCAAAAATCTGTACGAACCTTGATTTGAAATGCAGCCAAAAATAATTACTCTTTCTTCCGTTTTTCCAGGCTTCAAACTCCACATCAATTTTATTTTTAATCAACAGAACTAAAAGCACCTGCCATTAGAAAAACCCTGGGCAAAGCAGGTGCATATCACATAAAAGAATGAAAAAAGTAACAATTTTTCAGGACAAAAAGTATTATTTGCCCAAAACACTATTCTCTAAAACAGGTATTACTTTCTTGTGATTCAGTGGTGAGCAAGAACCATAAGCGAAGCCAGATCCCCTCCTTCAATTATGTGTCTTGAGCAACATGCTTTTCACAATATTAATCAAAATAGAAATACCTCCAAACAGAAAAGGTAGATGGTAGAAAAAAAGCCAGCTCAAAACAGGAACTAAAATCAAGTTCCTAGTTAAAAAAATTTATTTATTTACAGAGCCTTAAGAAAAGTTCGAAATCTCCTTAAACAATGGTAATGCATCAATGTCCTCTCTACTACATTTTGTACATTGTACAAGATCAAATAATCAGTCCCAATGGCCTTTCTTGTAACCTAGCTTCTACAGAAAAAATGCAGAAAAATGCTCCAAAGAGAGCCTCAGGAAGCCTCCTTGGAGATGCTCTTTCTTCATCCATGGTGTTATTCTTTATCATGGATCACTATGGCTGCCACAATTTAAGCTGTCCGTCTTCACTGTATGTTGATATAAGATTATTATGTGGGTGATGTACAACACCAATCACATCCTTGTCATGAACCTAATGTAAATTGCAGGAAAAATACAAAAAAAGTTATAAGAACTTGCAGAACATAAACCATAAACATTTGATTTGTTAGGAAAAGGGGAAAGACAACAATAATTTTCACAAGTCTGATGCCATTTTGAAACCAGCTAAAAGTAGGGCTTTTTGTCACACTCATTACCGTGCTCAACTGGATGAGTGCTAGTCTGCTGCGCAAACCTTGGCCAATACTTGGGCTCATAAAAAAACTGAAAAAGCTGTTCTTGGATAAGGAAGATAAACTGTAGGTCCCGTCTCACAACCCTTGCCCAATTTAAAATCTGTAGGAGCTATGGATACACTTTTCATATAAAAAAGGGGCATGGTTGGATCACATGCACATGTAGCTTGAAGTTAGGGCTTCTACAACATCGCTGACATTAAGGGCCTTAACCCGTCACACCTGTTACAGCTGAGTTCACTTGATGTTACAGGTGATCAAAGTGGACAGACAAAGATGACACTACATGTATGAATTTTTTTTTCAATAAGTCAGGCTATTTGCTGGTTGCTGGGTGCCTCACTCTGGATCAGCTTAAGAAAATAAATAGTGCATACCTGTAAGGATTGTTCTAGTTTTCCTGTCATGGTACTAAAACAATACATGACCATGTCCTCCCCTACACAGTAGACCCATTCTCCTCTGGGAGAGAGGGTGCAGCATACAAAGTCACCACCATCTCTCTTACCACTTGTGAAGCTTCGCACAATCTAAACAACAAAATGACCAACGTCAAAACATGTCCCCTATTTCTTATTAAAGTTATCCTTTCGACAATGATGACTCAGTATGATTATCTATTCCTTGGCATTCAAAGATCACCTCCTTAACCTAGCATCTTGAGTCCCAGCAGCCCAGCCAAACTCTTTCTCAAATCAATCTCTACAGAATCACTAGGCACTTTTCACTTGAAAAAACAAATTTTATTTTTATATACATGTACAAGCTGAAAAGTACAGGAGACTAGCTAATGGCAGCCAGGCCCTATACATTGAAGCCTGCGAACAGCAGACATATTTCCGGACATCGCTGACGACTGCAAATACATCTGCTGTTCGCAGGCTATATGCATTGTGTCACAGTGTTCCAGCATAGTTAGTCAAGGAGACTTGTTATGAAAGCCAGCAAACATAAAAGAGAAAACAACGGTGCTGTAGTTTATGTTGGAAGCTCCCTGACCGTGAGCAATCCTTCACAGATTGTAACGGAATAAATTAACATGATGTTTCTATTGGTCAGTAAGTTCAAAATGATAGGAATGCTATTGAACGTTGTGCACAGTCAGATAAAAAAGCAAACAAAACAAACAAAGAGTCTAAAGGGTTTCATAACCATTCCACTTTAATAACTATGGTTCCAGGCATGTTTCATTTGCTCTACTACACAGTTGTCTGATATGTCAGGTATCTTTCTGTGCATTCATGTACCCTAGGTGTGGGCAGAGAGAGACTAGATGACCTGCCAGCAGCTGGCTCTCCTTTTAGGGGAGCCACAAGAAGTCACGCCTGAGAAATGGAGAACTTGTTAGCAGACTTAAGACTAGAGGCCTATGCTGTCTTTGCCAAAAAATTGTCAACTTATAAATGAATCTAACCTGTCCCTGCATGTTCATGACAAGTACGGTGCTTGTTCTGTTACACACCACAAACTGTTCTGGGTTTCTTGGCATAACATGTACAGAGTTGACTGTGATGTCTGTCGCCACACTACCTACTGATGGCTTGAAAGTGTGAAGACATTCAGTTGTTTTGATATTCCAAAGCTGAAAATAAGACAAAAATTAACAAACAATAATTTTGTAAACCAGTCATACTTCCGCATGCCCCTCGGAAAAACTTTCCCTTAGCAATATAACTATAACTTTGATTCCAGTGAGAAAATGTGTAGCACACGCAAAATCTGAAATCATTAAGCAGGTTTCACTGATTGTCTAAGGAAACATATTGTTTTGAACATGTATGTAACACATTATACATGTAGGATGACAAGAAACTGCCAGGAAAGTGGACATTTTTGGCATTATGTGATTTCAGCCAAAAAGTGAAAATCATTGGGGAAATTTTTAATGGTATGTTTTCTTGCTCCAAAATCGCCACAAGCCAAAATTTGCTTAGTTTTGTGTGCATTGAAAATAAGCAAAATACTTAGGTATTTTACAGATTGTGTAAATACACATGTAATGTTAACCTGAGTTTCGCCTTGCTCGCCCGAATGTTATTACAAAGCAAAACGAAAATTGAGCCTGATCTCAGGTTAGTAATGTTGATTTTGGTTTTACAATGTAAAAAAATCATTGAGTAATATTTTTGTACATCATGTACCTTAACTGTTCCATCACTACTAGCACTAATGATGTTATGAGCATCCATTGTAAAAATAGCATCATTTACAAAAGATGTATGTCCTCGAAATTCCTTTAGTGTCTTCCCAGACTTAAGGCCATGCATTCTGGAACAAAGAAAAAAGATCATGTAAAAATCAAACCTGAAGTTTGCAGAATAACTACAGCACATGAACATGAATGTTCCCAAAAAATTAGAAAACTGACAGTACATGCACGTTAATCAGACTCCTGGGGGGTGGGGGGGCACTTGGGTATTTTTTTGGTGGGTATGTGCGGCCTGGGACTCCAAATTGGCACCTCGTTCTAAAAAAAAATTCCCCTAAAATCGATACCCCGTTCTAGAAATGGGCCAATTTTTTATACCCTGTTCTATAATTCGCCCTAAAACTGATACCCCGTTCTAGAAATGGGCCAATTTTTTATACTCCGTTCTAGGGTGCAACAAGAGTATATACAGTTTGCTTCAGTAACGCATTGAGCCGTATTTTTAAAAGCAATCTGTCCTTGAATAATTTCAAATGGCTGCTTACAAAACTGGAGCTTTCATGCGTTCGAAATATTATACCCCATTCTAGAAAACGCCTCTGAAATGGATACCCCGTTCTGAACCAGGAGCTTTAAAATCACGACCCTGTTGGGCGGCACATACCTGTATAGGTAATGTATGGGAGTACCCCCCCCGGGATCAGACTATATAATTTTATACTGTTGAACCTCAACAAATTAATGGCTTCTTTGTCTACAAAACTACATTTGCCCATCTTTCAGGACTCAACGTGGAAAACTTAGAGAAGTTCAACTGGATATTATTTTATTACAATAATTAACTCACTCAATATACGTAGATACAAGTAATTTAAAAGAGGTCAGTTCTTATTTTGACATGATAATTGCAGATGACTCATGTTACAGACAACTTACATACTATTTTCTATTGTTGGTCATGAGTAAGAATGAAGAAAACAAAGTGTCATAAACTACCTTATTGTCATATCAAAGGAGCCACTCAAAAGCTGGCTGGCATCACGGGAGAATGTTACACATGTTACACCTTTTGCATGGGCTTTCTCAAACCGTCTCAAACACTGTCCAGTTTGTAGCTTCCATACCTGTGACAACGTAATTTTACACATCATGTAAACGGTAGTGACTGCACTTTTGGGATGTGCTCGTACCTGCTTGAAACCATGATTTGGTTAAAAAGAGACCAAGTCAGGACATACATCTTGATTTTACATGTATGTTGTTTATAAGTGAATGCATCAAAAAGAATTTCCCAACTTGTTTTGCTGCACCTGATTGTAATATGCGCACTTGATAAGTGACATCGTAGAGCATTTTGCATACAGTTACATGTACGCCATATAAAAGCTTGATATCCTCAAAGGGATGCCCTACTATCAATTTATAAACACAGACAAAATACCGCTCTACAATAGCAAAATTTTAGAAATGTTATCTTAATTTCCCCATGAACACTGCATCAAAGCCATAAAGACTTGCAAACTCTCACAACTTTGTCTTGGAGTCTTGCAATTTCACAACCTATCTCAAAAATCCTTTTTTTAACTCCAAAAAGTTAAAATTGTCTTGTTCAAAAAAGTTCTTTATTATCCTTTTTGGGTCCAACAGTGGTACGAACAATACTTGCAACAACTGAGAGGGTAAATTTCATTTCAACCCAGAAACAACATCACATGACTAGTAAAAAGCTGAAAGCCTGTGAAATGAAAGTCACAATCTAGTGTTTGAAGTTGTTCTTCCTACACTGTAACTGCTGGAATCTATCTTTTCTCCATCTCTGTGCTACATATAATTATCATAAAGTAAGTACCTGTATTTAAAGCACTTCTGGTGTGTTGTCTACATTTAAGACACACTGTACCAAAGTCATGTGTAAACAAACATGTGTTTTGTGACTCATGTACCTTTAACTTTCCGTCCTGTCCTCCAGAAGCTAACATTTCACTGTCTCTACTAAATGCCAAACATAGAACAGAATCATCCATCATCATGAAATTATCTTGAGCTTGGTACTTAAGATCTTTTCTGATCTTCCCAGTTGTGAAATTCCACACTTCAATAAAACCATCTACACTTCCTGTGACTAGGTACTGGCCATCAGGAGAAAACTTGACACATTCTGGGTGGGATTTGGCTCCAAACTGTGAAAAATAAAGAATTGTGTAAATTTTAAAAAAATGGTTTTGGGCAGCATACACTGTATCCTTTTACTGAGGATGACTGATAGGACAGCATTAACCCTTTAAGTCTCAATAGTGACCAACATCAATTTTCTCCTAACAATATCCATAGATTGTCAAGAGATAAGGTTATGAGAATTAACAAAATGATCACGTAAGAGACACTACTTTCATCTTTTATTAAATTCTCTCAACCCATCAATGAAGGAAATGTATAGAGATCAGTTTGGAGAATTTGTATGTGGATATTGAGGCTTAAAAGGTTACGCCAATAACATGCTGTTGTTGACATTGTGCAGCTGACAGTGAATAACAAAGTACAACTTGTACAAAAATCTCACCAATTTTTTGTAGCTGTGTCCAAAAAGTCGATGCAAAAATGCAAAATATTAAAAAGGTGGAAAGTTGTTTAGGGTCACTTTATCAATTCTAAGAAGAATAAGGCTGGGAATCAGGAAAGTAAAAATAGTAGTACTTAATTACTACTGACAATGTTCTGTTGGGAAAATAGGTCAGGAAGTAATAGGTGCAACACTTACTTTGATCGTTCTGTTAAGTTGTGTAGGATATCTCTCTTCCTCTTCATCCTTAACTGCCGCCTTACCACGGAAAACATCAATGGTTGTTCCAGGAGGGAGGAGACCTTGATACTGCTGCCATTTGAGTGCCTGACTAAGTAAGGCCAGTAAACGTGATGGAGGAACCACAGAGACCTCTCCTGAGAGAGCTGTCAGATAATGTGAAAGCATGTACACTCAGGACACGGTTTTCTGCTAATGCCTTTAAAAGGTGACCCCACCACCAGACACACATCAACAGCTGGCTCACGTTTTACCACAATCTTTAACAATACACCTGTACTTTCACACACATGTTGGTTTCTTTTTAAAACACATCTTTACTACACTAAAATGTTACTAATATAAAATATTGCCATGGAAAAGAATTTTGGTTACATACAATACACACCAGAGATAAAAAGATCAAACAACTTGAACTTGAACTTTATTTTTATTTAAACACGGTAAATCTATCAGATAAAATAATAATAATAAAAAATTACAATCTACTTTAATCTATATAAACATGATCTAAAAATTTAAATAGTAAAGATAGAGAAAATAAAGAAATTCTGCTTTACATAGATGCCGTGTGCGTTTTATCGATTCAGTCAAAGAAATCGCGACAACCATTTCGAAAAGATTTAAGTGATTTTGCTTGCCGCAATTCAGGGGACAAGCTGTTCCAGATAACCGCACCATTATAGCTAAAGCTATTTTTCAAGAAATTGGTGCGGGGCAATGGAACAGCTAGTTTGTTTTCAGAGTTCCTTAAATTATAAGGTGGATTATATTTAGTGAAAAGAGAACCAAGATAGTCGGGCGCAAGACCATGTATAGATTTATAGACCATGGTGGCCACTTGTATTTGTCGCTGAGTATCCAACCGTTTCCAGTTGAGTTGCTCAAGAAGAGGATCAGCGCTTGTGTCATAACTGGAGAAGGTTAGAATACGGGCAGCCCGGTTTTGCAACTTTTGGAGCTTATTCGAAAGACTTTTGTTACAATGCCCCCAGACCTCGCTGCAGTAATTAAAGTACGGTTGAACTAAGGCATTGAAAACGGACTCCAATGTGGTTCGATTAACAAAAGGCCTACAACGTTTAATTACTCCAATGCCCGATGCGATTTTCTTGGCTATTTTTTCAATGTGTATATTCCATGAAAGGTTTTCGTCTACAAGATAGACAATTATATAACAAACACATACAAGATAGACAATTATATATTTTTTGTACTATACAAAGATGTATGCTCCCTTGCATTGTACATCAATTCAGTCCTTCTAAAACTAGAGCCTATTAAAGTAACGTTACATTTTTCCCACAGTAAAAGTACTACAGTGTAGAAGCCAGCTTATGCAAATAAAAAAGAAATGTGCACTGTGAAAAAAACACAATGATATCATTGTCACACTATAATTTATTCAGGTTTCTAATATTACATACAGTCACGTAAATTATTGTTAATGTTACTTATAATCACCTTGTGCAATGGCTGCCCTTCTGCGCTCTTTACTGCCACCTTCTGGATAGGCCTACAAGTTTAAATTATGATCACAAAATCAAAAACAGCTACAGTGTCCATGCACAGCGTAAATGTATGTTCCAAAAAGTCAATGAAAAATTACATCATTAGATGTTTAATGCCCGGAGAAGAACTATGATCACTTTAAAGTACTTGCAGTGTTACTTCAATGATACATTGTAAGATGAATTTCATTTCCAAAGCATATTAATTCATTTTACTTGCCTCCCTGGGATCAAAGTATGAACGGGCCAGCATGTTCTCTAGATGGAGATATCGATCAGGTTGCTGCTGCTTCAACATGATCATCGGATCTGTTTGACGTAACAATGACCTTGCAGCTCCCAATTCACGCAGCTCAATCAACTCCAATACAATCTGATAAAAATTTTATTATGTGCCAGATGAAAGTACATGTAATATATTTTTTCACTGTACAAGATGATAACATCAGTGCAACAGCCCCATGCAAGCAATTAAGGGCAGTTGAATAATGAACCAGTCAAGAAAGGCTAAATTAGCCAGTATTCACACAGCAGTCATTCTCATAAAGCATACAGAAGGTCTTGTTACAATGCATTCCCCATACTTGCAATATATCACACTAAATGTACTTGTAAATAATATGTACATGTAAGAGAGTACATGTATATGGGTGGTGGATCCTGGGGAGGGGTCCGGGGGACCCAGGACCCGTGCCCCTCCACTCCCCCCTTTTTTTAAATCAAACTGAGGCCTGACGTGAGACCAGGCCTCAGGCCCCCCTCCCTTATATCAGGGCCTCGATGACCGTCTCCCCCCACCCCTTTACCTGAAGGTCTGGATCTCCCACTGAACATGTTACAGGTCAAAATTAAATTCAGGTTAAAATTCTTTCACCTTGGTTGATTCTCAGTTTCCTTTGTCTCCTAGCCCTAATTCATCTGTAACACATATGCAACTGACTGATTTTAGAGGAGTAAAAATTACAATTACAGTAGAACCCCAGTAACTCAAACTCTGAAGGGAAACGAAAAACAGTTCGAGTAACTGGGGAATTCGAGTTATCGGGCACATTTCAGTGAAATTGTGATCAAAGGAAAGAAAATTATTATTTAAGTTTGAGTTAGCAAGAAATTCAATTCATCCAAGTTCAAGTTATTGAAGTTCTATCATAGTAGAAATAACTACACGTAATAGTGCATAATATCTGTGCAGGTTGTCATTAATATTATAACTCCTTTTCATTGCACTTTACAAAAAGGCTTTCCATTAAGGATAATATCATGAAGGAGCCATATATACCTGTTCATACAAGTCAATAAGTTTCTTGTCTGGTAATTTAAGAGGTTGAATAGCTTGTAACACTGTGTCCCAGTGTCCATTGTTAATTTCTCCAATAAAGCTTTCCACGCTATCAACAGTATTCAAGGTGATTCCTGTTTCTTCCTGTGATAAAAATACATAATTTTTTTTGGTAAGGAAGCAATAATGTGAGGGTCAAAAACAAAACCATACCCATCATGGGCTGTAGGGTCATTAAAAACTCTTTAAGGAAGAGGAGGTCTGAAAAGCAAAGCTTTTTTAAAAGAATTACTGTGTATGAACTTGAACTGGAATTATTTGTAGAGATGTCCTAAGGGAGAGGTTTCACTGTTACTGTATTAGGGCAGTAAAATAATACATGTGCAGGGCTGCCACTCATCAGAAAGTTAAAAATTCCCAGACTTTTCCCGGACTTTTCACTAAAATTTAAACAGTTTTCAACAACCTTTTATTAATGAGAAACAATCCATGTTTACCTTCACTTAAGCTTTTTTGCAGGCCATCGATAGTTTTCTCTTCATTTTCAACCTCTTTCGGTTTTTCACAGAAAGAGGAAGAAGGAATTTGGAAGAAAGCATTCACAACGAAAACCACTGACCACAACTACTACATGTGTCAGACGTAGAGTGTCAAACTGATCACTTTACTTGCTTTGCAGCATACTTTTAGTCTTTTCCAAAAGAAAATGCATTTCAAAATAGTGATGAAAACTTATGAACTATAAACGGGAAAACAGAATTCCCTGACTTTTCACTACTCTGACAATATCAAAGATTTTCTCTCACGTTTTAGAAAATTCCCTGACTTTTCCCTGACCATGGCAGCCCTGATGTAGTTCACAAACCCGAGTGGAGAAAAATGCACTGGAACAATACTTTGAGAGAAAGGGAACACACAACAACAAGACTTTGAGACTCACAAATGCTTCTAAGATATTTTGAGTGGCATCAAAATTTTCTGAGACCAAAAATTTTCTCAGCAGCATTCATCAACGTTTGCTTGCATTCGCTTGTACAAGTATAACAGTTTTAAACATATCTGTGTATTCTCTACCTGCAGAGTTGCAAGAGTTCTTGGTAGACTGTTTTCTTTCAGAAATTGTTGGATAAGTCGGATTACACTGAAAGAAAACAAAACAAGAGTCAACAAGGCAGAAATTCACGCAATCAATCAATGACTTTATTTTACTTCGAATTTAAAGATAGCATAAAACATGCTAATATCATAGAATGTGAATCATACATCTAACGCAAATATTGCTGATTTCTATCTTGCCTAGCAAGAACATATTCATAAGACGTTCACTTTACTACTAGCTAACTTGTTGAATTAAAAGAGGTTAAGTTAAATAATGTTGAATACATGTGTGTTGCTTTGTTCGCCAGCGTCTGCAAACTATCTCTGCATTCACTTTTGGAAGACACGTGCATGCCTCTAGGATGATCTCATGAAATGAATCGCTCTCTCAAAACAGGTTTAAACCACTAGATATTTACAAGAATATCATTAAGTCTGCATTAAATAAGTAGTAGAGCAATTAATACTTCCTTTGCTCCCCGAAAAACAAGGATTCACACTCACTCTGCAGATTCAACTTCGAGCGCCATCTTGAAACAACCGAGTGCAAGGAATTCTGGGTCTTGTGACAAAGCTTACTGTGGGAGTAGTGCTAGGGACAAAACAAACATTACAACTGCCTTCAGAGACACTCACTTTCATTTGTACCAAAATTATTCTAAAATATCATTCATTCTTTTCAATTTTTCAAATAATTTAGATTTTCTGGATAAACATTATTACTCACCTTGAGTGACTAGTGATCATAACCATTAAGATACACCACCCCTACTAAAGTGATTTCTGGCTCGTACCCAGAGCCAGCGCGAATGATAAGAACGCTTGTTCAAAATGGCGTCTTCTGCCACACGAGGTCGTGGTATTGGAAGAGGTAGAGGCTTTGGTGTCCCCAAAACTCAATCGAAACCGGGAGAAGCCACATATGTGCAGCAAAATCCTTCTCAGAGCAAATCAACACAAGAGATTGATCTTAAAATATTGCTAAGTGATCTGAAAGAAGAGTCTTTGGACGACAAAGTTGATAAATTATCGAGCTACATTTGCTCCTCTGATTCTGCCGGTGACCATTCTGCCTCGAAAATCACACAAGTTGTGGACAGTTTGATCCAACGAAGCATGAAGGACAGTGAATTTTCACCGTTAGCTGCTAAGGTCGCCAACAAGCTTTGCTCTGATGAGACAAACGGGAACACATTTAGAAGTGCCCTATTGAAAGCTACTCAAGAGAATTACAAAAATAGGGAGAGTATTCGTAGAAAATCAGTTAGCGAATGGATGGGACTTGTTAGCTTAATATGTGAACTTTTCAATCATCTGCGTACCGGTGGTCTTCCACTGAAACCTTTAGCAGGGGCAGTGTACCAAACCTTGGTTGAACTTCTAAGAGTTGAAGAAGCCATTGTTAGCCAGAATAAAGACGAAGAAGAAGACGAAATAGACTGTTTCTATTTGAATTTTAAGACTGTAGGAAAGCTCTTGAAAAGTGTCGACCAGGTGAGTTGCAGCGATGAACAGCAGTACAAACTAACACCCTTCCCCTTCTGAAAATACCCGTAGGAGATTTTCCAAGAGATCAAAATGGACTGATGACCACCTCGTCAGAAACTGTGTTAGGGAAAAATGAAGAACAGTTCCCCCAAAATTCTGTCAGTCATCTGTCAGCAGACTGCTGACCAACATTCAGCCAACAGATAAGTTACAGTTGGACAGCAGACAAACCAACAGAATTGCACAACTGCCCATGAGAGATAAAATGGAATTAAACTCTGTGTGTGCTTACAAAATATAGTTAGAAAGTCCTCTGTGAGATGTTGAAACCCACTTGGCCTGCCATATATAAAAAGAGAATGCCTGGGTGTGAAAGCCAAGGGTACAGAGTTACTGCCTTGGATTTCAAAGGATAAGTTGTTTTGGTGGCAAAGTAAAACTAAGTAGTTCGGTTTTGTGAACTGAGTTGAGATAATTTGTTTGCCATAAAGAGATTAAAGGGGTGATGGCTTGAGCAAAACCCTTTTTTCAGTACAATTCCATGGGACCCTTTCCTGCTGGCACTCAAATCGTCTGCCTTTAAATCTCTTCACAGTGCAAAAGCCTTATAAATTCGCTTCATTGTAACAGAAGTTTTGAGTTGTTGTTTAGAGATTTCTACAGTCAGACAGGAATGTGTAACTTTAAAATCTTTCTAAATAATTTTAGACTTCTCACATGATATGTTATGGGTCATTGTTAACAATACAAATATGCATCAGTGTGTCCTTAGCCTGATTTGTGACTAGTTATTACAAGTGATTGATACATAGTACACTGAACAGGCAAGCGCACAGTATTATCCTAATTTATTGTTGTTCCTTCTTAATTTTACTTGCAGGCAAAGTTTGATGACCTTGTTGGAGGAATAAGAGACACGATTCTTGCTGACAATACAACTGGCAAAACAAGGTGTCTGCTACTAGAGCTTCTTGAACTTTATGCACGTGACTGGAATATCAGCACTGATTTGGAGCGTTACTATTGTGATATGTTAGCTGACATCATGGCCAAAGATGCTTAGCTGCAGGCATTTTTTATTGTGATTGATATTTTTAAGTTTGTGCCTACTTGATAGGGAAATTATACACTTTTTTTTTTTTCCAAAAAAGTGCTTGTTGGTGAGACTTTAATTTCACAATAATTGTAGAGTATACATATTTCATGAAACTGAAAACTTTAATACTGGAAAAGGTTTGAACCTAGAAGTCATTTCATAAGGAGGTTGAGGATGATCGTCCAGGTGAATGTAGTCCTGAATAGGAATGTTGTTGTTGACAGTGACTGACATTTCGACAACCTGTGTGGTAGTCATCTTCAGAGTCAAAGTGAGTTGTATCGCGTCAGTTGAGTGGTATCACGTCAGTTGTATTAAAATTTTAATACAAAAAAAAAAGGTTTGAACCCAGGAGTCTTGTCATAAGTAAGTAGAATATGACCACTGCTATTTCCACAACCCAATAATTTGTGGTGGTCATCTTCAGAGTCAGAGATTAACTTGACTACCGTGCATGCAGTCGAAACGTCAGGACTTACGCCCACCTGGACAAGAATTCATATTCCACTTACTAAACTTTTAATCTTTAACAAACCACATCAAACAATCATATCTGAACATCATTAACTTAATGTAAACATCATGAAACTGTAAGGAAAAACATTTACTATGGTAGGGGACACCTTATTAACCTTGACTATATAATGATAATAAATAATATTATTATGTTTTAGTCTTAGTATTTATTTCATTAAATTTTCAGTCCTTTTTTATTAAATTTGTACTTATATCTTTTGGCCATTGTGGTTTTGACAATTGAATGTATGGAATTCCAATCTACGTGTGATTCCAAACCAGTTATTAAACCAATTGTTATTTTGTTTTCAAAATTCACTTTGATGATGTGCAAGACATCAAGTAAACACTATATCCCAAAAGCCAGGCTCTCACTCAGTACAGACTAGTGAAGAAAACAAGTGAGCAGCGAAAACGGCGGGAAAAGAGAAGGGGAGAGCCTGTAAGCTTCTTTATTTTTTAACATCTCAGTCGCCCACGTCCAGAAAAACTGTTTCTCAAGTCAAAATGTGCAGTATAGGAGGCTTTCACATGCTCACCATGCTCTTTGCCTGCGAAAACCCTGTAAGACTACGGCATACCGGTGTCGTTTCTGAAATGCGGCCCTAAGGCAAGTTGTGAGAAAAATTGTTTGCTTAAACGAGAATTTGTTGAATAACTTCATTCTTTAGCAAGCATTTTTACATCAATCAGGCAGTTTTTTTTCTTTAACCTTAATTTCTTCCTCAACGGTACGAAACATATAATCACATGAAAAGTGTTCGAATACGGTATTGTTTTTACGGTCCATGATTGTCCCCAACAGGGGTCCCCAAAGCGTTTCTCTTAGAAAATTGGAGGAACCACCCCTCCCCTCCCATTCTGAGGGAAGCCATGCGGACGAGGTTAGACCAGATAGCTGAAAAGCTATTCGTTATAGTACCCATGAACACTTGTTCACACTGCGTCAAGTGGCAAAAAAAACTCTATCCGATATGTTGGGCTCCACTCTTCCAGAGCGGCACGGCACACTGCTTCCCTCCGTGGTTAAATGCAGAAACTGCACCAAAATCACCGTTCTCATTCGTCAGGTTGCACTGATTTTCAAATTTAACTGTAGGCTCTTAGCCAATGAAAAAACTATACACCAGATAATGAGCACAATGTATAGTAATGTATTGTAATAATTGTTTGTTATGTCCTGCGCCAAGAGAGCGTAGAGGACAAGGAACTGGCTTCTATGACGTCAAACACAGTTCATCAGAACTGCGGTGCATGTTGAAGTAATATATCAAACATGAGATGCAGTGTTTCATCACCAGATGAAACACCGAGAAGAGAGTTGAAAATACGACGCGCAGCGGAGTATTTTTGACGAACTTCGAGGTGTTTCATCTGGTGATGATACAAAATCATTTTTGAAGGAGAAATTAAGGATGCAAATACTAAGCAGTGTTTCATCCGATTTCCAAACACTCATTAAACATTAATTTCCTTTGTATTTTCTTAATGAATTATTAATGAGTTTGAGAATGTGTCATCAAAAACGGTTTTCTCGAAATAAGAACTGTAACCGGTATGGTGATCTGTAGCTCTTTCAACAACAACAGCAACCAAAAACTTTAAAAAACACTTTAGGTCAAACACTCTTATTTTGCAAATTTATTCAACTAGTCATCGGCTGGAGTAAAGTTCAGTAACGTTAACGTTCTTAGTTATCGGTACTTCGTATCATCCGTGTTATCTTGGTCTACCTGTGCCTCAAAGCTACGTAATGACAAGCATGACGTTGTTTGACTTCACCTTCCGTTCACGTGCCGCTCTTCTTCGTCTTGATACGGATCATTACCATGCACTATAACTGGAGGAAAAGGAAATGAAATTTGCAGTACCCCTGGGCTAAAAAATATTGGATGTTTTGCATGGTTTTGCCTTAGTGATGTTGATGTCTTTGTGCGAGCGTTACTTGTTTCCTTCATGCAAGCTAAAGTTTTCATCGCTTTTGTGACGCAAGAAAAGCTATGCCCTTCCAAGAAAACAGAGCCAATCAAGTGATTTGTACAGGAATCTCGCAGATCATCTTAGGCTGCTCCGTTTTCGCTTTGTGCTTTATACTCAGCGACAGAAGGAGTGATGACTTCGGGGAAATGTTTCAAGCAGGTGCCGCTTATTGGGGTGCAATACCGGTAAGAACATAATTGATCTTCAGTGTTCAACTGTCTGGGGGTTTCGAAAAGAAATAAGTATTTTCCAATGTGAATCTTAGTTTCTACGGTAGTGAAGCGTGTTTTGATTTCTTTTTATGAAACAAATTAAAAGACTTCTTTGTTGCTGTTGTGATTACAGCTACCTTAAATGATATTTACTTTTAACGTATGACCACGGCCTACACTAATTTGATCCTCGTTATACTTCATCTTAGGTTTTGTTCAGTTTTGACCCCTGATATTAAAATTCTTAGTCTCTTTTCGCATTACGGAGCACAAGACAAATCACATGCACTTTCCAATTAACCAAAACTGAGCCTGCAATTTTAAATTTCTCTGCAACTTCAGTAACAGATGTTTTTGCGTTCATCCTTTATTCTAGCGTATCTGTCTCTTCACAGAGAAAACTCCGTTTTAGTTCTACTATAAGATGACTGTTTTTTTTCTTTTTTTAACTTAACTTCCGTCGACCAAAACGTAACTTTGTTTTACAGCCCCATCCGTGCTCGGAAGCTATATTTTCTTATAGAGATCGATTAACTAGGGCATGTTACCCAATGCCTTGTTCTTTTCATGTGACCAAATCCAATGTTAATCTATAACTCTAAACAATAACTACTGAATAAACCAAGACTTTATTTTATCAATCTGACTTTTGAACTAGCTGTTGTATTATTTCAGTAGAAAAAAATGTATTCATAGCTAATCATGGCAACAAAAATTTTAAAGACTTTCGACACAAGTTTGAATATCTTTGTTGTGATTCCCTGGAGAAAAACCTTTTTTTAATAAATCCACCCGTTTAGTGTCATTGTTTTTCAGGCAGTCCCTTTAAATGTCGACTTTTATTTCACTATCTTTGTGCATAGCTCGTTATTTCATCCTTTTGGCGATAAAAAACTCAAGATCGGCAGGTGTATTGAAAAACATGTTTTGCATATTAACACTGAAATTTCTATTGAAATCGCACGGCGTGAAACGAAACATGGACGAGAGCAAACACTTCACTGTACTCAACAAACACATTAGTGTTTTATTCATCGTTAATAGCTCTTTCTGAATAAATTACAACTTCTTTTATTTCAATGGTGTAACTGTTTCCTTCGTTGCCATGTTTCCTTCGTAGCTTTGCCGATTTAAATTTATTGCAAATTAAGTTTTCTGTTTCTCCACTTTTTTCTTCGTCCACGTTAGCTATAGCTGGATATAATAAAAGATTTAAAGCAATACTGACAGCAATTATTCCTTAAAAGGAAAATGAATTCTAAGTGGGCTGGCTAATATTTGTTAGTGCAATCTCCCATGTCGCGCTGAACTAAACTGATCTTAATTAAAATACTAGTTTATTAGCTGAGGACATGAAAAAAAAAAACCTGTCGGTGGGGTTCATGAGTGAACACTTCGCCGAGTTTTTATCGGGAAGCCACCAAACCGGCAGCCATGATAAAGCGTATATAATTTAATGCCTCATAAATTATCATGTGGTGGGCCAGAATTAGCATTAAAATTACAGAGTACATACAGCCGGTATTAAGTGCTTTGGTTCAATTTTGTCATCAAAATACTCTTACACGGTGACAAAATTGGTAAAAATATTGCACATAGCAATGAACTGAGTTATTGCGATGACAGTTGATCGCAGGTGTGTAATGTTGCGCGTAGGCTACGTGGAAATTTTGTATTTGGGAATCTAGAGGGCGTGTAATAACAGACTATCATTAACTGAGGGGTCAGTAATGCGTGTGGTATCCGAAAAGAAGCTTTTAGCACTTTGTATATCTCCAGACCGGAATGCTTGGGCTTCCTGTGATCAGAGGGGGCTTAGTAGGTCCCCCTTTACATCTTTAAAACCCTCTCATGAAATGACCAAAAACAATTCACAGAAAAATATACTCATTATTTCCAACATCTACAGGTAAAATTTTATGAACAAAATGGCGTAATGTGGCGTCATTAATACTTTATCAGGTCAGTTGTCACTAAATGTCAATTATTATTTTGGGTTATTCTCATGAAATAATAAGTTACCATAGCAACGATATAACACGTGTATAACACCTAAACATAGGAGACGTTTGTCGAACCACGAATTGAACAGCCCGTAATTTTTTAAATTAACATCATAAAATGCAACGTTTGCCATTTAGGATTATGCATTTTTGTGCCATTATACCCACGACTGTAAGGATAGCATTCAAACACGAAAGAAATGGTTGAAAAAAATGAAGAAACATCTTGAAATTGATTTATTGTGTTTCGTGATTAATTTCTTTCTTCTCAGATCGTTATAACTGGATTTTTTGGAGTAGCAGGAGGGTGTACTGGCAAATTTACAGTGGTAAGAAAATTTAATGTGATGAGGCTAGGTTGCCGGACACCAAGGTTTTTTGTCTTCTGATGTAATTTCACGAGCCCTTGTCATTTGAAGAGTCTTGACTGACACTTTTAGAAAATCTATCTATGCTCTACATCATGAATTCTAATATATGTTATTATCCTCCGTTCAAAGTATCTCGTTTACCGTAAAATTCCGAAAATAAGCCCCGGGGCTTATATTTTTCAAAGGCCCTTTTTGAGGGGCTTATTTTTGGAGGGGCTTATATTCGGAGGGGCTTATCTACGGAGGGAAAATTGTGTTCCAAAATCGATTGGGCTAGCCTTATAGTTGGAACGAAATTGACCGTTTTTGCTTTATTTTAAATTGTATTTTAGGGCAATTTCCAAGTACAAGCCCCCGGGGGGCTTATATTCGGAGACGCGATTTAACGGAGGGTTTTTTGCGATACGAGTTTGGGGCTTATATTTGGAGGGGCTTATACATGGAGGGGCTTATTGTCGGAATTTTACGGTATTTCTTTTTGGATCTCTGACCAGACATGTCTTTTCTTGGCTGCTGCCGTAATTTCCTGTTTTCTTGGAGGAATCCTCGCAGCATTCGTAGGAGTGGCGTTAACAGCAAGGAGATCTGTTGGAGAATGTGAAAACGGTGAGTGCATAGAGCACGTGGCAGACCACGTCGAAAGGGGTGCGGGAAAAGGACAAAGGAAGGGGCATTGGCTACCCCCTCCTCCTCCCTTTCCCCTTTTTGCGCAAACTATGCAGGCTAGAGAGTGCATAGTGCGCATGCTCTCCACGCTCGTCTACATTAGTTTCGTGCAGGGGGGGTTGGGGGAGGCTGGTTTCGTTTGATACTTGAACACAATTGAACACAGCGATCGGATTTTGTTTTTCAAGTCAAACTGGATTTGTCATTGGCGATATTATTTCCAATAGTCCTAGTCTCCCTGCCTGGTTATTTTAGAGTTTCCCAGTATTCTTCTACTATAGCAAAGCAAGCTTTTTAAGACCAAACTGTCCAAAGCAGAAAAAACGATTTTATGTATCGACCGACAAGATGCCTTTATATCACAACACTTAATGCCGGTTGTGAGACCTGAATTATCTTGCGATCAACTCGTAACACACAGCGGCATGTAATAATTTTCTTGTCTTCTTCTTCTTTTTGTTTTCATTTAGTGTATTGTCCGTATGATACAGAATCAATTCTCATGATCGCATTGATCAGTGTCTTGATCCTTCAAGCTGCTATTGCTCTGTCGGGTGTAATAGAGTCTTCACAGTTACTTTGCTGTACTGTTGAAGTAAGTGTGAGAGTGTGTTAATTTAATTTATGCGTATTCATAATGACAACAGAATTTGGCGCTTAAAACTTTGAGCCGTTACAGTGGGTGAGGTAAAAACTTTAAATTTCCTTTTACTAAGACAATTTTCGACATCTCCCCTTCTGTTCTTGACAAAGGCCGTCAAGAAAAAACCATACCGTCCACTCTCTCTAAAAAGGTAAAATGCTTTTGAAGGAGAATTTCTAGAGATGAGGGAGCTTGAGCTGGAGTATTAAAAGAGTTTGCTTTTCTAGGAACAGAACCGCTAATTAGCCACACACTCATGATATTTGAAGCAAAATAACAACGAAACACAAACTTATTACCTGTGGGTGTGTTACAAAATGTCCATTGCAAAGGTTCGACCTCTAGCAGGCCAATATTAGGATATGTCAGCGTGCAAAGAAAGTCGAGTCCGATCGCCTGGGGCTAGCGGATTTTGCTATCGGACTAGAAATATTTGTTCTTAACTTGCCCGACGGGCAAGTGAAGTTTTTTGGGGAAATTCAAATTAGAGAAGGTTTGCACCCTGAATTTTCACACCAGACCGGATAATCGGATTGCCTTTCGCGAGGTGATCGGGTATAATGTGAATACCTATCCGATATGTGACGCTCCCCTTTGGAAATTAACGCGGCGCACCTTCGCTCCGTTGCAGAAATCGCGCCCAATTCATGTGTGAAGAGAAACCCTATCTGGCATGGCTTTCGTGCCGGTGCAAAAGCTATCGTGTATGGCATTGTGAAACATAGCCTTTAGAGGAATAATGAAATATTAAAACATTTAATTATGCAATACTTTCCCTATCTCTAGTTAGCTAGCTCTGAGTGGCGACAGACACACCGCTTGTTCTAAGCTGGTACTTGTTTCATGTTTCACTCTTACAGACAACATTATTTTACATGCAAAACTGACGTCGTTTATACAAAAATTAAAATTTGCCCTTACAAAAGTGACGTCATTTTCTTGTTCCAGTTTTTCGCATGAAGCCACTTGTTAAAACGCAAGCTGCCAACAGTTGGAGCAACAACTTTTGCCATTTTAAACATCTTTGAAAAGTACTTTTCAAAACCAGCGCTAGGGCTTTAGTAGTCAATGCTCTTGGTTTTTGGCCATCTCAGTTTTAAAAGGAATAACATACAAACTGCGGTTACAAACATCAGAAATAACAAACGCACTGTATAACTGACTTTTATAATATCGAACTTGTCGTTTGGTATGCTTCAACATACATCTTCAGAAGTGACCGTTAACATGAGTAAGTAATTAACGTGAAGGAAGTCAAGGTAGTCAATAACCAAGTTTTGTTGGCAAATGTGCTATGGGACTGGAACTTTAAGAGAGTACAAAAGTTGACAAAAGCTAAGCTAAGGTTGAACGCTTTGAAACGGTTGTGAGCAAATTGATGTGTCGTTTAGCTCATTCTTCCTAGTTAGTGTTTATGTCTCTGTTTTCTATTCAACTTAAGCTCATTTATGTAACTGAAAAAACTCATTGTATTCGGTTACCAAAGATAACGAGAATTATCAAGACTCGGTTTGTGTGGTTATCTGCTTCAGTCTTCCAATAACAACCGCAGCATTGATAATTCTTGTTATTATTCTCAACCTCACCTAATTATTGTCAGTCTGTAGTGGGTTAGTCAATCGCCACATGATGGTAGAAAAGTTAGAACCCCTCTTTCAAAGGAGCCGACTGACCTGATGATCTGTGTTACGGCAGAAGCTCAGTACATATTCAGTGTCGGGAATCGCTTAAGTTAAAAACGAAAACATCCTCGGACTCTCTTATTTGTGTCACTTCAGAGTTTTTCTGTTTCTGCCCGGGGGTTGGTGGTAAGGAAAGTTTACCTGCTGACTCGGATTCCTGGAGCACGAAACTGAAAATGAGCTTGCGCAAACTACCTCCACAAAACTGTCCAAAACTTGAACTTCGGCATTTTCTCCTAGAGTCTTGCAACAACGGCGAAGAAATGTACAAAAAGAGATTTTATTTTGATATCCTCGTTGCCGCCACCGCCGCCATTGCTTAATTAGGCTCTCTAATGGAGAGCAGGAGGTGGAGGTGAAGTGAAATAACATGCCTCCCACCAAGAGCCATTATGACCCATTACGGCTCTTGATCCCACCAATGTGGCACGACTTGCCGGAATCCCCGGATGTTGGTTGAGTGCATTGTTGCGGGGTCTAGTCCTTGCTCCGAGATAGATCGGTTTCCCTTAATTCGAATTGGACTGTAACACACAAAACTTATCAAGAGGGTTTTTAAGAGCTTGTATGACGCTCGTGGGAAAACAGATTACTTTTTTGAAACCAAAATCTCTCTTTTTCAGGAGGATCACGTGTCCGTTGTGTCAATCGGGAATTCAGCGCGGGATCAAAGGAAACAGAGACTAAGATCTGAGCGAGTTACCCAGAAACTTAAAAAAGATGGATTCTTTGCTGCAAGCTACGATACTTCGTTTGATGATGCATCAACTCGATTCTATGGTTTTAGGAACGGGAAAAAGAGCTACCGGGTGTGTGAACTAGGAACAACAGTCTGAACAACAGAAATGGAGTGTCCTGACTTTACTGAGCTACTCTCGTTGAAAATTGATGTTTTGTTCGTTTTTATTTCGTAAATTATAAGTCGTTCATTCAGTAACGCAAGGTATTCTTAAAGACTCCCTGAACTCTTTACTGTTATCAATTACTGTTATTATACATCAGACTCACTATGAAAAATCTGATTGGTCGAGAGCATTCAATCAATTCACAATAGCTTGTGAACTTGACATGATAATGCAATATCTGCTGCAGATATTGCATTTATCATGTCAAGTTCAACGTCTGCCTGGTTACCAAGCCCCTTGGAGTGTTCTCCTCAGAAACAGAATGGCTAAATGTCTTCTTTTGCCTATTGTTTAAAAAATGTATAATAAAACAATCATTGAATTCGGTTTTCACATGATATCATGAATTCTCAAAACCTCGTTTCTGTATTATAAGCCGATAACAAAGACCTCGGTTTTGATAATTCATGATATCATGCTCAACCTCATCCAATAATTGTTTATTATCACATTAGATCGCCCTATGTAAAAGGAATTTAAATAGTATTAGATTCTGGATTCCACCTCGTGGATTCCGTATTTCAGGTGCGGAATTCCGAACTCAAGCATATTAATTCTTTGTCAGTGTGGGACTCTGGATCTAACCGTTAATGGAGTTATGGAATCCTTGAGCTGTATTTCAGATTCCAAAGCCCAGGATTCCGGATTCCACGGGCAAAAATTCCCGGAGTTTGGATTCTAGAAACAAAATTTCCAAAGAAAGAAACAGACAAAATTTTTCAACATAAAATAAAAGTCCAACATAGAAACTGGGTTTTCTTTTCATTCCCGGTTCAATTTTTAAAATACGCCTTTAAAATGACTGTCAATCCAGATGTAACAAAAATTGTCCAAACAATTCAAAAAATGTAAATATTTAGTCACGGTATACGGCCATAAAAGTATCTTCTTCATGAACGTATCTTCTTATACAGCAAAGTAACGGTGAATCTTGTAGAATAATTTGTATTCACAGCAAACCCTTATCCAGTCCGAAAACTGTTAGGTTTGAAAAAATGTAAAACCCATTTTAATAAGGTAATAATAATAACATTTAGATGAAACAACTTTAACAAATTCTCTTCCACTTGTACACCGCTTTATACTCAATTAAAGACATTGTTTCTCCTAAACAAAAAACTACACTAGAATGGCCTCTAAATCTGGCAACCTACATAATTTAGATTTTCGGGGTGAATCTCCACAAACACTGCCTCACAATGATAACGATAATTTTTTATTATTAAGACGATTTTAATATACTTTTATTGCTTAAGTTTTGGTTAGCTTTTATGCACAACCCCATAAGCGGCAACACTTTAATCACCATCCGTGTTGAAATAAAAGTTATTGTATTGTATTTTACTAGAATGTCTTGTAATTTGCGCGGATGCATCTATATGTACTGTTAACAGCCTGTAGCTAATACTGCTCTGAGTTTATCCTGATGCCTTAGTCGCGCGGCGACGCCTTGATTGCAAATCCTTAAATTATAAAATTTGTTCTTGACCTAAATTTCCTTCGCTTCTGGTGTGGCCATACAACCTGCTACAGAACCGTCACTCACCACTCTTAGGTGCCTGATCATGACTAGGCGCTTGATTTCTAAGAGGATGATTTCTAGGCAAGTAGGGGTAGTGGGGCGTCTGGCGTCGGGACATATCTTTGCAAAAAGCCTGCTGGTCTTTCAGAGGCTGTTTGCCATCCAGATGTAGTTTAGTTTGCTGGTCAACAGTCGTGGGGTTGTAGTTTCTGGATATCTGATTTGATTGATTGCTTATTGGGTACTGCTTGTGAGGAGCTTGGCTTCTTCGTTTCTCATTGCTTGAAACTTGGTAGTTGGTCGATAGGTTGTTAGGTATCTGATTACTACGGCGATGATTGGTAGGTGGATGTAGCAGCTTCCTGGCGTTTTGGTTTTGAGATGGCTGGCTACTACACAGATGGCTAATTGGAACAGCCCAACCATCTTGCAATCCGTAAACCTGTAATCTTCCGACCTATGATTGAGGTACTAAAGAACTGGGTATTAAAAGCGAAAGAACCAATTATTTTCAGACCAATAATCGGCACAATAACGTGTCGAGGACCATTGTACGCGGCTTGTATCTAGATACCTGCTTCTCCACCAGGTGGTTGGAGGGTTTGTGTTTTCCTCGCTCTTGATTTGTTCGTCGTTGGTTTCTAGGTAGCTGGTTAATTTGTGCCTCCTCGTTAGATGACTGATTCCTTTGTGGTTCATAGCCTTGTAAGCAGTCTCGGCCTACAAGGTGGTCTCTGCTGGCCACGTGACTAGAAGGCGGCTGGCTGCAAGACCCCTGTTTTCTAAATTTTGCCTCACCATTGCTTAGTTGCTTTTGAAGTCCATGGTTTCCAGGAATTGCGTTGTCACTAACTTGACAACTTGGCCATTGGCCGTTTTCGCCGTGTGACTGATTATCAAGCACAAGTCTTGAAGATTCCCTGTAACTGGATGGAGGTGATGAGTTATTACAGTTGTTATTGTTATACTGCTTGATCAGGAGCTTGCCTTTGTTTTTCGATTCGGTAGTAGCTTCTGAGTCTATGGTTGGAGATGAGAGGCGTCCCTCCATTTTGCTCATTGTTGATTCTTGGTCTCCATGCTGATCTAAGGTTGAGGTGTCTTCCCCCTTTCAAATAATAATAAAACAAGGTTTAATAATGCCGTAGATAACAGTTTGCTATCGTGTTAGTGATCTTTCAACTAATGAAGACAATAAAGAGGATCAGGAAAACTTAACATCTTCAGTGTCATGGCTTAAAGAATATGTTCGTAATTTACCAAAGCAAAATGACCTACCGAACAGCCAATGCCAGGGCTAACTAACAAAAACAACAATTGTTTACTTCACAATGAATAATATCGCTCAATAAAAGGGACTCCAAGACAGTCTTAGATTCTGGATTCCGCGCCGTGAATCCCGGATTCCAGTTACTCTATTCCAGTCTTTGTCAGTGGAACTTGAATTCTGAATTCTAATCGTTAGCGGGATCCGAATTGCTTGAACTGTATTCCGGATGAATCACAGGATCCTGGATCCCACAACCAAAAATTTCCCGGATACCGGAATCCGCTTTCCCTTACATGGGACGAATAATGTCTTTTAGTATCGATCACTGAGAAGTAACTAGTTGACTAAATTAAACCAGGTGTGAAAACTGGATCAAAGACCCAACTCATTCTCATAGAATTAAATAACTGTGTCGTACCTCCTCCTCTTCGTTCACGTTATATCTTGATGTCAAACGTCTAGTGACAGCATATGACAGAATTCCCAACGGAGTCAGTGCAAACGGCAACATTGCTAACACTGTCATACCAACGGTCGCCGCATATCTATGACAGTAGTCTATATAAAGAGATAGACATATAAGAAAGAATTAACAGTTCAGTCTGAGAATTGTCCGTCTACTGCAAAGCAGAGAATGGGCTTGCGATTGCTGAATAGCTCCCGAAATATAGGTATACTTTTTAGAAGCTTTTACTATGCACTGAGAATCAGTAGTTGTGTAGCTCTGATTGGCTGAGAGAAATACTACACTTTTCAAAAGATGTAAGCATTGGATTCAAAATGCTCGTGAAGGGACTGATTTTAAGTGATCTTGGTTTGAGATTGAACACAGCTTATAGCTGGATGCGACCACGTACTTATTTCTCTGCATTTCGTGGATACAACGTCCTGTAAATTAGGAGGAACATGATGAAGCACATGTACAGAATTTGCATGGGTCCAAATTGTTGGAGGGAATAGCCCAGGGGGCCAGAAATCTGAGTGGAAATTGACGGCGTACTACGAATGAACTGATTAGAAGATAACTTACGTGCTCCTTTAAATTGAGACTGACATTTGACTTTGTAGATCTCTCTTGACTTAGCTTCCCTTCCAAGGAATATGAAGGTGAGATGTAGACCAAGTACTCCGGCTATTAAACAAAACACCAAATGAAGAGAAATCTGTGGAAAGATAAGAAATGCACCAAAATAAAACGCCATGCAGTTTATGCATGAAGCTTAAAAGTTTGCTCTCTGTTGTCCCTGTGAATTCTTCTAAAGTACATCTTTTAGTCTGATAACTGAGTGAGTTAGGTGCTAACACCGGGGTAAAAAAAAAATGATCACTATGGGTCTACCTGCAGTTTTAAACTTTTGAACATTATTAGAGGGAATATAGGTACAAAACATGTTATTCAGGCATCCATGACCTGGAGTTGCTTCTGTAGGAGGAGAACCAGCCAATTTCTCAAGAGCTGGTGTAATATGTATAGCACGCTCTGGATTCTGGCAGCAGCAAATTTCTCAATGCCTATACTTACCTAAATATACCATAGATGAGGTATGGTAGTTCCTGTTGATAACCGATATACTAATTACCCTCTAATTTTTGGTGATAATTATCATGATGATGATAATTCTAAAGCATGAAAAAAAAAACATTGGTAGGGAAGCTTAAAAGTTTGCTCGTTATTAACTGATCAGAGCATGTGGTTTCGGTTTCATGACCATGATCAATTATTGCGCTATCTGCTGACGAGGTTTGACTCGTGACCATTGCTTTTCTCGCTTACCATACAGTTCTTTCGCATTCGTCCTCCTACCATGCCGGAAATTCCAGCGATTAATATCTAAAAACGAAAAATGATAATAACAATGGTGACCAAATGAATAACAAGCGAGAAGTGCCGAGTCATTGTTGTTTTTTAGTTCTGCTAATATTACTGGTGATTTTCCCAATTTAAGCCTCTTGACGAAGCTGATATTATTTGCCCCTTCATAAGATGCGCTATCACTAACAATAACAGACATATTTTATTGCTTTTGAAGAGTAGAAAAACAAAAGCATTGGATGACAAATGAACGTTATAAACCTTTGTAAGATCGAGACAGTGATGTTTGAAGCTTCTACTCTGGGCCTATGATTCCTTTTTGCAGTGTATAGTGACTGTAGTATCCGTCCACAATTCATTACAATAAAGTGATGTTTTCGACGTCAAGACTGATCATGATCACGGATGCATGAAAATGTAGTTTTGCCTTGGCCCTTTCATTAAACATACTGACTTGTGAATACGTACAGTTTGAGATCTCATTTTTTAGTTCAAGAGACGAATGAAAAGCACTGCTGTTATTAGTTCAAACTCAAACAGTTTTAAACAAAACCAGCAAGATGCAATATCAGTAATACATGTGAGAGTAAGAAATACATCTACTATAAACTAAATGATTCAAATGTCATAATCTGTTTGTGTGATACGTCTTAACAAACTTATTTAGTCATGCTGTTTCTTGTTTGTGTTGCTTACCGGTACTCCTGCAAGCATTGGTGGTAGACTGAGGCTTTCCTCGTATTCTGATAACTTAAATGCGACACCGAAACATGAAAGGCCCAATGTAAAGGCGAAAAGTCCCGATACCATGGGAATACGCCATTTATTGTCTTCGCTCATCAGTTTCAGTCTCTGACACATTTTCGTCTCTGTTTTGCAATATAACTTGCTTGAACCGCAGCTCTTATTGAATTGTCTAGTCCCTTTTCAAATCTCTTAACTCCACAACATACCAGAAGCCTACGACTGGCTCAAATTAACATACTTAAAGCGATACGTTGTATAAAGGCGAATATCCTAAAACGGATGTCAGCCTCTTTAGGTCAACAGATACCGATAATTTATCCAAGAATCTATTGGAAGACTAAACTCTAGCAAAATATCGTGAACCTTCGACGTGATGGGAAATCACGCACTGGCTAATACACAGAGCATTGAGAAGATAAAATAAGTTACAGTGGAACCCCGCCTTACAGCCACCTCGTTGTTACGACCACTTTTTTTGGCTGCCTGGCAAAAACCGCCATAAATCTTCTTGTAAAACACCCTTGTTAATACGGCCCATTGTTTTTGGTGCATTGGTGGCAGTATTAACGGGGTTCCACTGTAAAGGGATATAAAGGAAAAATTGGAAATAAAGAGCCCGGGCGTAAAGGCTAATATCTTAAACGTCCTCCTACCATCCATTTCAAGCACGTTATGCGCTGGACACCACATCTGCCGGCACAAAAGTGGACAAGACACTGACAAGACTTCAGTTGCGGTCAAAAGCTTTTATTAGTTTTCAATTTTATCTGGATTTTATGTTCAAAATTTTGCTCATAGTAAAAATTTACTGCTTAGATAAATCTGCACAAGTCTATACTTGATATGTCGATATCAAATTTGTTTTGACCATTGAAAAGTTTTGTATGCGACTGTGAGAAAATACATTAATAAAAAGATATGTTGATAAGAGCAATTAATATTCAGCATTAGCTAGCATTCAAGCAAATTTTACTGGAGGCGCAGTTTAGGTTGCAGAAATTAAGATTAAAATATAAATTAGTTTTCCAGAAAATGTGCTAGAGAAATATGAGGGGACCTGTTTTGTGATATATTACAGTTAAAAAGCAATTATATTTTGATAATTATATTAATCACGCAGTAAAGACAACAATCGTACGTATGTGCATGGCCGTCGATGGGCAGCTACATATATTTTCCATTTGGGACAAATACAATTGTCCAAATAAATGCCCAAGTGGCAAAGTTAGTGGTAAGAAAAACTAAAAAAAGAGAGAAAAACTAGCTGTCCAGTAGGAATCTTGCGCGTTCTGGTGGTAGGGATTGGCACATTGATAAGTTATTGACGCAGTCCTTGCCATGCGCTGAGGAAACTGGAGTAGAACATTTAGTGGGAAACGAACGTAGGTTTTGTGACAGTCTGATTTCCAGCGACCTAACACTTGAATCTCCTAGTCAGCAAGACCAGCTAAAGAAGCAGATGTGGCGCCACCGATCCCAAAGTTGTGTCCGCTATAAGCTGTAGGATCTACACCAATAAGTCGCAGTAAGTGAGACACAAAGTTTAACGGGTGTAGCCTGTTCAAGGCCTGGTAATTCTCTAACAGGAAAGAGCGGCGAATCCTTGGACATCCTTATTCCTGTTGTCAATGTTAATTCTGAGTCTTATTTAGAGCCTACTGGTCATTCGTTTTCTCTGCAAATTCCGAGGGTTGATGTTGTTTCTAACATTTTGTCGAAAATTGATGAAAAGAAAGCCACCTGTCTTGGCGGATATGATTCCGAGTAAGTTGTTGAAAATGGCTGCTTACCCTCACCCAAAAGTCTGGTTAAAAGCCTGGTGAGCCTGGTAAACCATGGTTGAACCAGATTTACCGGGCTTTTGACAATTAACAAGTAAAATTGAAAGCCTGGTTGAGCCTAGTTTTACCAGGCTTTCAAGGTAAGCATGGTTATAATTCACCATGAAAGTCTGGTAACTCAGGTCTCGACTTAAAAATCCTAACTAGAAATGATTAGTTAGTCTGGTATTACCAGGCTTTTCTGGTAGGCCTGGTTGGAATTTTCCAACTCAAAAGCCTGGTAAGCCTGGTTTAACCAGGGTTTTCTGGTAAATCTAGTTTAAACTTTTGACCCCAAAAGCTTGGTAAGCCTGGTTTACCAGAGTTTCCTGGTAGGCCTGGTTAAAATCCCCTACCTCAGAAGTATGTTAAGCCTGGTTTATCCAGGGTTTCCTGGTAGGCCTGGTAAAATCTCCCACCTCAAAAGCATGGTAAGCCTGGTTCTCCCAGACCTTTTTCTAGCAATCTGGTTTAATTTAAACCTTAAACGCTTGTTAAGCCTGGTTGACAATGACAAATCATAAAATATGTAAACAAAGGACAAAATGTAAACAAGGTTTAGTTTCTTCAGAACAAAATGCAAGCATATCTGTCGTTTGATTTATTATTTTTATATAGACCGCTGTAAAATGATCAAAGTTTTGGACCGACAGTATCGAAATTAATTGATCGAAAATTTTCCATTCGTGCAGTTCATGAGACAGTCGTAGTTTTTACACTATACAGTTAAGGATCTCCGATGAAAAGGGCGTTCTTGATTAACCGTCCAGAAAATAATACTTAATTATTTTAATGAGCGACATCGAAGACTATCTTGTATCAACAACTAAATAAAACAAGTTGTTTCTGAAATAGCAAAGTTACTTGGCAACCTGTTTCTTGCCACTCTTACAACTCACACAAGAAGCTAGCTCGCTGTCAAATGACCAAATTCTTAGACACACTGTCGGAAAGAAGCCGGTTCAAAAAACTTTACCTCCGATTATTAGTGCAGTTTTTGCAGTGCAGTTTTTGCCAGCGCTACTCTTAGCTTGTTTAAACTATCAGGTTCAAGTTTTATTTTAACGACATTAAAGATCCGCTTAAAAATATTGGTCTATAATTTTAGTTTTTGATTAAACACATTGTTTTGAAAAACAATAAATTACCTGGCAACTTTCTATCCTTACAAAGCAAGTTAGTTACTCATAGCATTCACAAATTGACGTACCTTTTCTCCGTGAAATCTGAAAAGAAAAAGAAATATGGGATGACAAGAACCAAAGTGTCACCGATGGAGTTTTACCGATCTGTTGTGCGAAATAAGCGTTACAAAACGTAACAACTATTACCCATTCTCCTCTATTTAACACATATGTGTTATGGATTAACAATAAACACCATTCACTTTTCGTAGTTGACTGATATCATTAAGTATAATATGTGCATCACAGAAAAGAACAGGCAGTTTCACTCAGACTTGCATCGGTTGTTCACTGCCAACCTCGTACGTAACATCGGCAAGTATTTCTTTGGTAAGTTCGACTTGGGATTAAATTGTCTTCCGTCAGTACTGAAAAAGGGCCATTTTACACTAGAGTTAATTTTTTAACCAGTGGGAATGTCTGATTAACCCAAAATTTATCTTAAAAATCTCAGGTTTTTTTTCAAGATGAAGGAACTGAGCAAGTATTTTTAGTAGATTGGTCAATTTAAAGCAAATTGTAACTAAAAACCGAAGGAAAATGTTGAGAGGACAATAGTTTTGTGGTATTTGGTGCATATAACATCTTTATACCGATTTTTTGTAAGAATTACTGGCCTTTTTTCAACTTATAAGTTTGTTCCTTGCAATTGTTCAATATATATCTCGATGGAATAAAACGAAATAAAAACACTGCTGAGTAGAATCAGGGGCACCCAATGGATCTGTTCCTCAAAATATCTGTTCTTCAGGCACATTTTTGCTGGCTGGGAGATGTGGAAGAAATAATAGTCCTTGGAAGGAAAGTTTTGCTGGGAAAAAGATAATTCAGGGTGTGAGAGGGGATTCGAAGTCTAGAATAGCTGCTACGGGTTACTTGTATGGGTTACTTACCACTCAAGATCTGAATTGTGCCCTATGAAACTTCCCAGTAAGTCGGGTTGGAGGTTGTAAGTTTGCTGGCTGGGAACTCTTCCATCAGGCTTGCTGAGAGTGAGGAACAGATAATTTTTTTCCAGCAGTCTCCCAAAATGCTTAAAATAGTCTCAGAAAACTTTATTCACGCTTTGTTGTTGTTTTTAGGTCTTTTTCTCAAAATTTCCCGTTGGGTGCCCCCGTAGAATGAAGCTTATAAATGTCTTTTTGTGTCTTGTTTATCGTCGTTTCATACAGAGAGCAGAATATGAGAATGCTGTGTATATTTTTGGGGTTGCTGTTGATTTTGGTGCCTTCCACAGGCGAAGATTTACAAAAATTGGACTTATTCGAGCTAGTCGAAGTAAGAAACAAGTGTTATCATCATCATTATTATCACAAATTTCTGTTATCATTATTATTATTATTATTATTTAAAAAAATTATTATTATTATTATTATTATTATTATTATGATTACTAAGATATGCTCACTTAAAAATTATGCCGTAAATTATAATACGCAAACGAGTTCTAGCCAATCAGACTGAGTAGCGAACGATCCTTTTCACACGTGAAAACCGTGACACGTCCAGTCAGAATTGAGAACGAAGTTTTTTTTCACATGAGAGAAAAATCATGCATCCAATCAAAAGCCACATTCACCCTGTTCCCGCCTTTTCAAAGCTGCCTCCAGCGCCAACGCTTCTCTGGGATAAATTTTTGGAGTCCCAGGAGCGTTTTCTCCTAAAAAGTAAACAGCACACCGGAAATTACAATTGCAATCGCCGAATTCAACAATCCGGATTTTATATTTACCTCATTCTATTACACATTAGGTGTGCACAAGAGAGGATATCCTCTCTTGGTGTGCAGCAAATAGCACTGGATTAAAATTCACAGTTTGATGTGTTTATTTTAAGAATCTTCATTGCTTCTCTGGACTGCTCAGCTTCTTATCAAAGCAATAACAAGATAGAATGCGAATTCTCCCTGACTAACAAGGGGCTTCAGGATTATTACGTACTAAAATTGAACACGCCTCTGGAAGGTCATCCTTCCGATTGCCTGAGAGTCACTCGAAATGGTAAGATGATAGAATATGATGGCATATTCGTCAGACGCAGGAACCTACCAGGTCCAGCTGATTTCTTGCTTGTTCCAGCAGGAAAGACTGTTTCAGCAGCTTATGATGTTTCTACTGGATATGACATGAGTGAAGGCGGAACCTACAATGTGGCAGTAGACACGTATATAGAATTTGTAGAGGGTAGCGTTAACAAGGGTATCAATGAACTTGGGAATTCAGCCATGCACTTAAAAACATATCATTTGTCTTCTAAGGCTGTAGTGTTTAAAGTCACTGAAAATCGGTTTAGGAAAACTCTCGGACAACAAGCACGTTTTTTAGAAAAAAAAGATAGACTTACTGCTATTATTTTCTCTAACAGAAAAGCACAGGAAAACGGAAAGCTTGGTTATAAACGTAGCCAAGATGTAAATATTCCGCGTGATCCTATAATCAAAGGGGGAACTGAGCAACAAAGGGAAGAGTTATTAGAAGTTCACCGTGCCTCATATCATTACGTAGTGGCGGCCATTACTGATCTTAATAACAGCCCCGAAAGAGTAAAAAAGTGGTTTGAATCTGCACGCAGCGATGAGGCCGACAGGGTCTTTAAAGTGATAAAGAATTCATTAGAAAATGACGTTTTCACTTACAATTTTAACTGTAAACCTGAGTATAGATTAGCTTATGCGTACACGTATTTCAACTCGCATTTAATTTTTATTTGTCCAGCTTATCTCCCTCAAGGAATATTTTCAGGGTCCGAAAATAAAGTAGGTACCATTGTACATGAAATAGCCCATGCAAGAGTTTCGAAACGTGACATAATTTTTGGTCGTTGGGGCTGTAAAAACCTGGCTAGGGATGAGCCATATAAAGCTCTTAACAACGCTGATAATTACCCATATTTTGTGGAAACGCTGTACCCTTTCAACAGCGGAGTAGACGCAGCGACCACAACGCCAGATGGTTCTACATATTTGTTTAAAGGAAACTTTTTGTCAGATTTAAAGATAATGTTTCTAGCTTTTCGCCTCGTTGGCCAGTTTTGTTTAAAGAGCGCTTTGGAAATTTGCCTGCCAAGTTCGGTCAAGGATTTGACAGTTTTCTTTGTCTAAAGACATTTGGCTATTCTTATGCCACAAAAGGCAGTGATTACATTCGTTTTAAAAGCACAAACTCGCCAGTGATTTCTAATGGCTACCCCGCATCTCTTCAGGCGGGATGGGGCGTATCTTCAGATTTTTCCCTAGGTTTTGATTCTTCAGTTCAGCTTTCTAATGGTGTCACCTACGTAACTAAAAAGGACTCGTTTGTGAAATACTCTGATAATTCAGCATCTTCTGTAAACAGTGGTTATCCCAAGAAGCTCGACAGTTTGGAATGGGGAGATTTGCCAGGAAACTTTAAAAGTGGATTTGATGCGATGACTGTCTTTCAAAATAAAAAACTTCATGTGTTCAAGGGGTCCGAGTACATTCGATACAGTCATTTTCCAACTATTGATTTAGGTTATCCTTCACCAATCAAGGGAAACTAGGGCGACATTCCTCAAGATTAATGCAGTAAGAGTGTTTTACAATGGTTCAATGTTTTAGCTTAGTACACATTTGTAGATGTGGATCAAATGATATGGTATGGTATGGTATGGTACGGTACGGTAACTTTATTTACACACGGTATTTCCTTCAGGTACATTTACATTCAAGTATAGAAAAACTAACTTCCAAACTAATCTAAAATCTAAGACAAAAACTAAAATAATAAAAATGAAAAGAAAACACCTGCTTTTCAAGGAGGCCGTGTGTAAAAACAGAATATCGCTAGTTAAATTATTCGGTCAATCGAAATTTATGTCTCTTAATTTTCCCTTAAATATACTAGGGGATGTCAATTGGTTGACAAATGCAAGATAATAANCATTTTCCAACTATTGATTTAGGTTATCCTTCACCAATCAAGGGAAACTGGGGCTACATTCCTCAAGATTAATGCAGTAAGAGTGTTTTACAATGGTTCAATGTTTTAGCTTAGTACACATTTGTAGATGTGGATCAAATGATATGGTATGGTATGGTATGGTACGGTACGGTAACTTTATTTACACACGGTATTTCCTTCAGGTACATTTACATTCAAGTATAGAAAAACTAACTTCCAAACTAATCTAAAATCTAAGACAAAAACTAAAATAATAAAAATGAAAAGAAAACACCTGCTTTTCAAGGAGGCCGTGTGTAAAAACAGAATATCGCTAGTTAAATTATTCGGTCAATCGAAATTTATGTCTCTTAATTTTCCCTTAAATATACTAGGGGATGTCAATTGGTTGACAAATGCAAGATAATAATAATAGTAGCAGTAGTAGCAGTAGCAGCATCGGCAGTAGTAGTAGTAGTTGTAGTAGTCGGCAAAGCTTCTATAAATGTTTGAGATATACAGTTGAACGCCATTAACCGGCCACCTTCAGGGTACAACCAAGTGGTCGCTTAATGGGGGTTGGCCGCCCAAAAGAGGCTCGTCAGAAACTAAGTTGGCATAATCGTAAGCAGAGACATCACTTCATTTTGAAACGAACATGCGAAGAGAGCAGCATACTAGTCTGCAGAAAGTCCTCACCTCTTTCGATCTCGGGTTGTATTTTTCTTCATCATATTACTGAAATAAAGCCAAACTAAGAAAACGAAAAAAAGAAAACGTCTGTTTATATCCTGACGTCAGTTTTGAAGAAACTCTGCAAGAGGTTAGCTTTTTTTAAGAACTCAGAGATATTTTGAGTGAATAAAAATTTACAATTACTGTATTCGACTTTCGTATGATGTGAAGAATTATGCTGTTTTCGGCCTTCAGCCTCGGTGGATAACATTCTACTTGATCGGCATAATTCTTCACATCATACTCAGCCTCGTTTAATAATTGCTAATTATTATGTACTTTGACTTGGGGTGCTAGGGTAAGTAATGTGGATACCATACTGCAGTCAACTCTTGTTTTTGCGGACTCGAGTTTAGTGTCCTCATTAGCGAGAGTCCGTAAAAGCGGGACTGGTGTATTTCAGTCAAATGTCTGTAATTTATTTTTTCCTGGGATTTAGCTGCTGTCCCTGCCTCGTACCCAGGCCAGTTCGCGCTATCCGAGTTTTTCCCGACAAGCTTGACAGGTGACGTCACATCGAAATCGTCGAGGACATCTGGGAACAAGGCTGCTGCTGTTCGTATTATGATCGGGGTGTTCGTTATATCAGGGTGTCCGCAAGGCAAGAGTTAACTGTATGGGAAAGGGTAAAAACATAAGGATGGAGCGCAGATAGACTGAATTGTCATGTCAAGTATGTCTCCTGTTTTATATCAAAATAAAACATCAGTGCAACATCTCTAAAGTAACAAATCAGTGAATAGTGAATGCAAGATGGTGTGGTGCAAAAAGCTCAGTGTGTATTGAGTATAGATTTAAGTAAATCCAGTTGGATTTTAGCCTGCGAACGGCAGACGTTTCTCCTCGCAACGTCCCCCAGCGGCGAAGAGCGAGGAGAAACGTCTGCCGTTCGCAGGCTAGTTGGATTTTTGAAAACGTAGTTAGCGAATTGCAGCTATTTGAATTTAAAAAAAAAAGCCAAAAACGCAATTTTCTTGCGTCCGGTAAACTCGAAAATCACAACAGAGAAGAAAAATGAGAGGAAAAATGGAAAGAGCAGAAAAAGGGAAGGAAGGAAGGAAAGAGAAAAAGGTAATTGGGCTGATTCTAGCGCAGCCACGTTATTTTACATGGCCTCTGTTTCAAAACGAGGGTAGGTGCTCAGTCTTTGATATGGAAATCATTTTTCATTCTCATGCAAATAAAACTCACCTGCATAAGAAAGGGCCAAGAAAGGTTGTGCAACCTCGTTCCCAGGGTTCTCTCCTACCCGCCCTACGGAGCGAGAGGTGCACCTAGCCACACTTTGAAAGTGAGGGTTTTTGGAACTCGGAATGGGCCTATTGGCCAGAAGATCCAAAAGATACGTGCAAAAAGGCCGTTTTAGTCTAAAACGGCCGATTCGACTTGATTTGCACAATGTTGCGGAAAGATCTAACTACAGGGTTCGTACAGAGTCTTTAATTCTTGAAAAAATCTTGAAATTTGCCTTACAATTTTCCAGATTTGAAACAAGTCTGGAAAATGGAGATAACGTCTGCAAAAATGGTAAAAAGTCTGGAGGGTTTTTGTTTTAAGTGAAATTTGTTTCGTTTTGGTCAAATTTTGCTCAATCTCACCCGTACGTTTGCAGCGCATCATGAAAAAGGCTTTGTTGATGCTTCAGTTTTTTAAGGTTCTCCGGCTATTTAGCATCTATTTAATAATCTTTAGTTCGGGAAAAGAAATTATTGTGTTGGAAAAGATTCTGGAAAAAGTCTTGAATTTTGGATCCAAAAATCTGTACGAGCTCTGTAACTGGATTTGCTAAAACCTACAGGAAACTGAAACTACATTTGCTGCTATTTGACCAGTGGCTAAAACGTGAGTCTTGGGGTCTGACAAGTCCGACAAGCTGACAGGCCAAGAAAAAGGACAAGAAAAGTAGAGATAGTAAGAAGAAAACGATTGCTCTCTAAGTTTTTCGATTGTCTACTTTGGAGAAATCTGATTGGGCGCAAGGACTTTTTCGCAGCAACATTTTTAAAAATACTTCTTGTCTACACTGTTACTGACCACAGAAATGATGCACAATGTTTACAACTCATGAGACGCAGGTAAAAAA